AAAATAATGAGGAACAAGACCTAGATAGAACCAGGCAGGAAAAAATGTGTCAAGAAAGTGTGAGGTGTGTCAAGGCACGTATGTACACGTAAGTAGAGTGAATGGCTTCTGTGAGGGGACGAAAAAGAGCCTGAGGCAGAAGACTTCCAGGCCTGAACTAGGCTGACCTCCGTCCTCAGGGGGGCCCGAGGTAAAGACATTGTGTCACTTCAGTTGTTTTCTTTCCCCATGATGCTCCATGCCCAGTGCTGCCTGTGTTAGAGACGGCGACAGTGTCCAGGATGAAGGCGACACAGGCATTAACCCAGTTTTGTGGTGCCCTTCCTCCACAAGCCATGCCTCTGGGAAGGCAGCGGCAACCCTAGCTCCAGATGGCGGCAGTAACAATGGAGATACAGCAAGCAAGGCGGGACAAGAATCTGATCCGGAGCTCTTCCACCACCCTGCCTGCAGAAGAGCCACTTAACAAAGGCTGCCTTCTATCTGACCAGAGAGTAAGACCACCATTATGACTGCCTCAAGGGACACAGAGGGAAAGAAAGGCCAATGAAATAAAAATACTAAAGAGGACTGAAAATAAACACCAGGATGAAGCTGGCCTCCTTTAGATGCATTAAAATGTAAGATTGAGGGCTGAGGAGGTGGCTCGGCGGCTAAGCTGCTCTTCCAGAGGGCCTAGTCCTAGCACCCATATGGTAGTTCACAACCACCTGCCACCCCAGTTCTGGGGGATCCGATGTTTCTTCTGGCCTCTTTGGGCACCAGGCAGGTGATGCACAGGTCCATGTAGGCAAAACACCCACACACATAAAAATTAAGAAAGAATGTAAAAATTTAAACGTGTAAGGCCAAGACCTGCCTAGGTGACCCAACAGTAATCACCCAATCCTGGGCCTGAAACTCTCTTGAAAGCCTTTTAGAGCTCTTTAGACTTCCTTGGGTGTCTCAAGGTCCCACCCACAGCTCTCCTCAGGGAGTCTGTCAGAATCTACCCAAATTCCAATGCTTATTCAGAGTTTCAAACCCGCAGGAGTGGTGCAGGACCAGCAGAAAAGATGTGCTCTAAACCAGACAACACATGGCATTTCAGAGTAGACTCAGCTTCTGGCTCCAACACTCCTTGGCTCACACCAGGTGGTGCATTCGGGTCTCTGCGCCCGTGAGGCACGTGGTTTCTGCCTGCCTCAGCCTGAGGATCCATGCTCCTCCACAGGGCTCACTTACTGTAATGTAAAAGAGGGCCCACAGCTACAGCTCTTCCAGAATAAACACCTACTGCCCACTAGACTGGGTGCTGTGGACTGGTGACACCAAGAGACACTCCCTAATCAAGACACGAAACCAGAAGTCCATCCTCCACAGGAAAAGACAAAAGATTGAGAATGATGGCAGTAAAGGTCCCAAGATGTTGGCCTCTACCTAGGAGCTATAAAATACGTAGGTATGGGATCTAGAACTCGGAGCAGCCACGGACCAAGAGCCTCTCCGCTAGCCCTCAGCAACCATTATGTTCACCATTTCCTTCCAGGTAAGACAGGCTAAGAACCCAGCCAGTGGGAGGAGGGATGGCCTTGCCCTGGGCACGGAACTCTCAAATCTTCCCAAGATCATTTCTTCACCGCCCAGGTCCTCCCTCAAGACAGGACTCTGAAAGATCAGGTTATCAGTTGCTCAGAGAACAATCCTCTTATACAAATGTAAAAGAAGGTATTTAGATTCAAGCACCAGAAGAAAGGCCTCTTTCTTTCCGGCCTACCCAGGAAAGGACCAACTTCAAATTCAGAACTAAACTCCCAACTTCAACCAAGGAAGACCACCATCCTCACTGTGAATAATAGTTTCTTTCACAATCAAGAAAACCTGGAGGAGGGCCTTGAATACTAACTAAATTATCTATGGAGGCTCCAGCCTCCCCAGTATCCTCTTTTCTTTCCTCTCTTCCTAGACAGTACTGGGGATCATGCTTTCACAGGAGGGCTACCCTCTAGCTAGCACAAACACCTAGGGTCTGGAAGGAAACTGATCATTTGAAAGGCCAGAAATAGGAGCTCACAGCTTTAATCTCATCACTGGGGAGGCAGAGGAAGATAGATAGATCTCTGAGTCTGAGGCCAGCAGGATGACATAGTGAGCCCAAGTTTCAAAAACAAAACAAATGTGGTACATGCAGACAGGCCTGTAACTGCCAACACTCCAGAGACTGGGAGGCCAGAGGATCAGAAAGATAAGCCTTTACAATCCTGTCTCAAAACCAACCAACCAAGCTGGGTGAGGTAGCACATGCCTTTAATCCCAGCACTCAGGGAAGCAGGTGGCTCTCTGTGAGTTCGAGGCCAACCTGGTTCAGGGCGGCCAAGGTTTCACAGAAATCCTGTCTCGGAAAAACAAACAAAACAAGCAAACAAACAAAACCCCAACTAACCTAATGAAAAAACAACAAAAAACCCAACCAACCTACTCTGGGGATAATATTACTTCAAACCTTACTCATACTCCTCTAATAGATGCTGTCATCAGGTTGAGGAATTCCCAATCATAAAATAACATGAAAATATAAGCCTATGACACTTTTGCTTTTCTGTTTACACTCAAGATTGGAGGAAATAATCTATAAACTGGCAAGGTTGTGGATGTTTTCTTTTAAACCCAGAGAGAGAGAGAGAGAGAGAGAGAGAGAGAAAGCCTTGAATTCTATTTACCTTCTCACAGGAACTGCAGGGTAAAGTTCAGAGACCTCAGTGGGAAATGGGGCTTTGAATTGTTCTTTGAATTTTAGGTCCATCCCTCTTAGCTATCTCCATCGTTCTGTCCCACTTCTGTGAATAAAGACTCTTAATCAAGCTCCCACACTTGGACATTTTGGGCCCCTCCTATTCAGGGCACACCGCTCAGGGCTCAGTGCCATATTATCAATCTTCCCCACTCCCTTAACCGAGCAGAAAGCACCTAGGGTGGGTTTCCTATCCAATCATGAATGCAAACGAAAAAAAAAAAAAAAGGTGTGCTGTAGATAGAACGTTTTCCTGGTATGTATACAATTTACCCTTGTTCATTCAAATGCTGATTTCTCTACCCCACTATCTGGTTTCAATCTGGACATTGTACTGTGATGTTTATTCTAAGCATCACCTGTCTCAAGTTTGTGTAAACATGCCACCATTTGTTCTCTGTATTGTCCACAAAACAGCCAGCCAATGCTGAGCAATGGAGAGAATAAGGTGGGACATCCTGATCCAGAGGGGAGTGGGAGGAGTCAGAGAAAGAGAGATCGGCAGGAGAGGACTAGGAACCATGAGGAGAGATGAATGGGACCTAGGATATGACTAAGGGCAAGTATAATGTGGGAAATCTGAATGGGAGGAAACTATGTGGGCTTGGAGGTTTAGGATGGAGTAACTATTGCCCAGCATTGTACTCTAGGTTAATTAAATAAATCCTTGTCTCTGTGTGGTAATTTGGGTATACAGCTGATTTAGGAATAACCACTGATTAACTGAAAGATAAATCAATTCAAATATTAGTATTCAACAACAGTGTGCCTAGCAGTACTTGTAAATTCCGTCACCAATGATAATTATAGACACTAATTTAGCACCTGGAACCTGGCTGCTACTTAATGTGCCAGGAAGGCTGAGCTAGGCAGCCACTCAGAGAGCATCAAGATGACAGCTTCAGTTCTTGCCATAATGTGAAAGAGAGGCCATGTGGGTCCCTGGTACCTACTGGGTCGATGTCTTTCACCCCTCTCCCAAAGTACTGACATCCCGTTAGGGGATGGCAGGCCTTTTCTGAAACACATTACTGAAGCTGAACAGCAAGGGAAATCAATTACCTTGACCACTAGCAGTGAGCTTGGGTAACAGCGTACGGGGGTGGGGGCTGAAGGTGGGGGGACTGGTGAAACAGGGCAGGTGAGAACCAAACTTGCAAAGACAGGCATCAGGAAAACCAGTAGCCCAGGAGGCAAGAGCTCCTGGAACTGCAAAGACCCTTTATTATCTCTGACCACCTCGAAGAGTCGGTGAAGATAGCTGCAGGAAAGCACCGAGAAATCGTCAAGTTTGGAGACATGGTTATATCCAACTAGAAATCAGGCCCAAAGCGAGCGCCCTGTAAAGAAGCGGCACAGCCTTGCATAATTAAAACAGAAATACCAAGAGTGAGAGGATGTTGAAAGGATAGCCAAAAATAGGATTCAGAAGAAGAAAAAAAAAAACAAAAAACCAACCATGTGTATCTATGTAGAGCAAAAATCCTCCAGGACAAGATAGGCCAAATCAGAGCAGCTTCAAAGACCGCGCGCACATCCTCCACCCCCCACCGCAAGCAAAGGCAGTGAAAAAAAAACAGGAACTGTGCGACCATCCAGACCGAGGGAGGCGGCAGGCCCCTCACAAAGCCAGCGGCACCACCAGATGCTCTCGCTTCCCGGGCTTTTCTTGCAGGGTTAGCGCGCTCTCCCGGAAGGAGCTGGCCCAGTGGGCCTCCAGGACCCCGCAGCAGCAGCACCGCGGGCCTTTCGGCCCTCATCTCCCGGACGCCGTGAGCCGCCCCGAGCCCACACAGCCCCCGCGGCCGCGCCGCCCTGCGCCTCCGGCCCGGCCCCGCCGCACCTGCACCATGATGGCCATGCGGAGCGAGTCCTTGGGGATACTCTCGCTGCATTTCTTGCAAGAGGCGCGCCCGCTCTTGGCGTACTCCACTCGGTAAAGCCTCTCCGAGGCCTCCGCCATCCTTCCGCTCGCGCCGCTTGCAGCAGCCGGACGCCGCCGCCGCCGCCTGCCCGCCCCGCTAACGTGTCGGTTCCCCGCAAGGCTGCAAAGCCGCCTCCGCTCAGGATAGATTGCTGATGCCTGGCGGCGGGACCACCCCCTAGGCCCGCGCGCGGGGCGGGGCGGGGCCTCCCGCCCGAAGGGGCGGGGCTTCGGCACGCGTCCGGTGTTGGGGGGCGGGTTGCGTTCCAGCGCGACTGCGCGCCGGCGTGCGCTGGTTTTGCAGCCTCTGGGAAGGGGCAGGGGCGTGTGCCCGAAGAATCCGACAGGCGCCGCCTCTTTTGTCGGTTTGTCCCAGAAAGGCTGTTTTTGCTCTCCCAGGTAATTCCATCTCACCTCCTCCCATTTTTTTCTTCGTGTGTCTGAGCGTGAACCCTGCGCTGACCCTTCTGGTTGGCAGCCTCCGGACTGCTGGCACAGAATACCAACTAAAGCCTAACTTTTTATTCTTAGTAAGTTTAAATGCAGAACTGTAAATTCCAAGAGAATGGGCAGTACCTGTAACTGTCAGCATTACTTGCAACAGACTTTTTTTTTTTTCTTTTCTTGGCTCTCCCGTCCCACTTTCCCCACACAAAAGGTCTCTGTTGTAGCCTTGGCTGTCCTGGAACTTGCTCTGCAGACCAGGCTGGCCTCAAACTCAGAGAGTCACCTCCCTCTGTCTCCTGAGTGCTGGGATTAAAGGCATGTGCTACCATAGCCAGTAACAGATGTTTTTATGGGGAGATCTCAAAATATTTATGGTTATCACCAATTGAAGTTATGTGTATTATTAAATTTACTGCTGTTAGATCATCTTGGCTTTTTAATGTAGCGCTACACGTTTTTTTGTTTGTTTTTTAAGAGGCAGAGCCTTGGCTATTCTTGACTCACTTTGTAGATCAGGCTGGCCTGGAACTCGCCTGCCTCAGCCTCCCTGAGTGTGGGGATTACAGGTGTGGGCCACCACTCCCGGATGTAGCTCTACAATTTAAACATAATTGGTTTTGTTTTTTGTTTTAATAATTGTATGTGTGTGACACAGGGTCTCACTGTAAATCCCTGGCTGGCCTGGGACTTGCCAAGATGATCAAGCTGGCTTCAAACTCACAGAGATCTGCTTGCTTTTACCCTAAAGTAAACGGGTAAACTCCATGCCTGGTAGCAAATTGGTTGGTGAGCTGTGGCCTCCTTATCCTTGGGTCGTTCTGACTCAGCAGGAGGAACCGGCTCCAGATGCCTGCTTTGAGCTGCCTCTTCCTCACCCTGATCTCACCTGCCATGGGTGAGACCCCTTTGTGGCAGGCTGACCGACACATGGGTGTTCCCCAGCCTAATCCAGGTGGTGGAGCCCTTAGGCTTTGCCTTGTAACCAGTCCTCAACCAACGCCCCTTTGCTGCAGAGTCTAACCAGGCAGGCAAGGCTATCTCACACTTAAAGAACAAAGTCTCCCAGCCCAGATTACCGTGTGGGAACTGCAGGAATGTTTTGCCTGTATAAATGTTTATCATGTGTGTGCAGTGCTTGAAGAGGTCAGGAGATGTTTTTGTATCTCCTGGAACTGGAGTCACAGATGGTTGTGCACTGCCTTGCAGGAATGGAGAATCGAACCCAGGCCTCTCTGAAAGAGCAGCCAGTTGCTTTTAACCTCTGAGCCATCTCTCTACACCTTCCCCCTTGTAAAAGGTTTTTAAAAGCTTGTTGACAGTTGCATTTACTGAGAAGTATTCCAAATGTTCCCTCCAAACAGCTGCAGACTTTCCCATTACTGTTCCGTGAATAGAACAAATATTTCGTTTGTATATTAGTTGTGGATGATGGTTTATGCATCTTCAGCTCTGCAGACCTGCATGATTTGTTCTGACATCTACTTCAGACCATTGCTGCCTTGACTTCCCCACAGGACGGACTCAGAGTGAGTAAAATAAACCCTTTCTCCATAACTTGCTTTTGTCACATTATTGTATCATACTAACAAGGAAGGAAACCAAGACAGTTTAAAATTACATATATTACAAATAAGTACACACACACACACACACACACACACACACACACACACACATTTTGGAGATGGAGTCTCACACAGCCCAACCCTTCCGTCAACCCTGCAGTACAGCCAAGACTGGCCTTGAATTCCTGGTCCTTCTGCCTCTACTGTCCAAGTAGGATGATAGTTGTATGAATATCACTATGCTTAACTCTTGATATTATTAGGAAAAAAATCCAAGGATTTTTCTAGGTTTATTTTTATTTACGTATATGTGCATGTGACTGCGCAGATACATACCACATATGTGGTGATGCTCTCAGAGGCTAAAAGAGGGATCAGAACTTCTGAAACTGGAGTTACAGGTGGTTGTGAATTGGCCAGCATGGGTGCTGGGAACCAAACGTAGGTCCTCTGTAAATGCAATACTGCCCCAATCTGCTAAGCCATTTTCCAGCCCCATATCACTATTTTCTTAAACCTACTTTTGGATTGCCAATAAGGTTGAATATATATTCTTTTTTAAAAAAAGATTTATGTATGTGTTTCTTATGTAGACAATGTTCTTTCTGCATGTATGCCTGCATGCCAGCAGAGGGCACCAGATCTGATTATAGATGTGTGTGAGCCAACATGTGGTTGCTGGGAATTGAACTCAGGACCTCTGGAAGAGCAGCCAGTGCTCTTAACCTCAGAGCCATCTCTCCAGCCCTATATTTTTTTTCTTTCTCCTTTCTCTGCATTCATTCATTCATTCATTCATTCAGTGAGCCGGGGTCACCCTGTGCTGCCCAGGCTGGCCTCAATTCCTGGTTGAATGAGTCTCTTGTCACCCAGGTAGCTGCAACAACAGCTGGACCACTGCACCGAACAATACTGAATGTCGTCACTCGTCTTTTCCAACTTCCTGTGTGGATTTCCTGTACCACTTTTGCCCATTTAAAAAAAAAAAAATTCCCATGCTATTTATGTTAAATTTCATAGTATTGAAAAAGATTTGCTCATTATTTTATTTTTGCCCGCATGTGTATATACCAGGCGCATGCATGTCTGTAGAGGCCAGAAAGGGCATTAGATCTCCTGAAACTGTAGTTCTAGACAGTGTAAGCCCCTGTGGGGGAACTGGGAACCGACTCTGAGTTCCCTGGACAAGAATCACCGAGCCTCTGAGCCATCTCTGCAGGCTCCAGTTTTCTGGGGGTTTGTTTGTTTGTTTGTTTTTATGATGTAGCCTTGTCTTACTTATTTCCCATGTTCGCTCTTAACTTCTGAATGCTCATCACCACAGTTGGTGTTGTGAGGGGGAGATCAGAGTCTAAAAGCTCTGTGGTGAAGGAAGAAAAACAATGCTCAGAGACGCCTGGGCTACTGCGTTGCAGCGGCCTGTGGCGTGGGCGGCAGCGCTGTGCTGTTTCCCTGGCAGCCTCCCCACACTCTGCCTTCTCTACCCCTCTTTTTTCTCCTAGTGTCAGTCAAGAAGTGTTTTGTTGTTGCTCCTTTTTTTTTTTTCCCCTTGCATTGCTGGGGATGGAGCCCAGAACTTCATGTGGATTAGGCAAATCTTACTGCTGAGCTGTCCCCAGCCCAACAGCCTATTGTCTATAAAAAATGTTTACAAGTATTTATTTATGGAGAGAGCACATGCCATGGTGTGTGCCTAGGGATTAGAAGACAAATTGTGGGAGTTGGTTTACTCCTTCTGTCGTGGGGGTCTTGGGAATTGAATTCAGATCATCAGACTTGGCTATAAGCACCTTAACTTGCTGCGCTATCTCCCCATGAGTCATTCAGGTACATAATATATGAATTATTTTATAGTCTCATCCCTTAGCCTAGTACTGGGCATATGGTAGAAATTCATTGAAAAATTACTGAATGAACAAATGATTCATATACATATAAATATGTATAAAGAAGGTACCCCCCTCCCCACCAGGGGAAAAAAAAATCAGGACAGATCCCCAAGGACATGCTGACAAGCTGGGACCATTGTGTGGTGCCTTGTTAGCTAGTTAATTCCGTGTACCCCAGGCAGGAGGAGCCCAGCCCTGTTGCAAGGGCTCTACCCACATGGACCAGTATCTACCGAGCACATTTCTCACCCAGTTATTTTAAAACATGAGGCCAACATCATGAAACTCACAATTGCCTCTGAAAAGTATGTTCCCTTCCAAGCCTACGCAGTTGTCCTGGCTGCTGATTTTCTATCAAGAGCGGCGCTTGCTTGTGTGGGCACAGCCATCTCAGGGGAAGTAACAGGGGCCCACAGTCCATCTGAAGGCTGATTGGGGGGACCCACCCAGGTCACAGTGAGCCCCTCCCGTGATAGCAAAGCTAGGGGTGGGCATCCTCCTAGCTAGTCTGAGAACCTTTGTCCTTATTTGCTCAGCGCTGTCATGGATCTTATAAAAATAAGATCCTTTGGGGGCTGGAGAGATGGCTCAGAGGTTAAGAGCACTGACTGCTCTTCCGAAGGTCCTGAGTTCAATTCCCAGCAACCACATGGTGGCTCACAGCCATCTATAATGAGTTCTGGTGTATGCATAGTAAATAAATAAAATCTTTAAAAAAATCCTTTAAAAAAAAAAACAACAACAGCACACATACAAGAGGATAGGAAAGAAAACTGCAGAGAGAAGTAACTGCTAGTTAATTCTGATTATCCCGGGTAGGATAGGAAAGAAAACTACCCCAATCCAGGAGGGAAATAGTTTCACCAAACCAAAGTTACATTACAGTGCAGCTGGGAACCCTTGTGCTTATGAAGCCAATTTCCTTTGTTAATAGTTACATAAGTCTAATCAGAGTGTAGATTTCTTAAGTGTATTCACACACAGGCACTTTTCAATCACTGTGATTTATTTTTCAATAACACTTCCTTTAAAAAAAAAAAGCTTCAAAGTTCTGTCATTCTGCCTTCTATATAATTTCCAAGGGCAGAAAATTTCAACTAGAACTAAGTAAACACATGTAATTTCACATTTTGAGATTTGATTTTTTTGAATTACAGTTGAACCTTATTGCAGCATGATTTATTTGACATATTGAGAAATAACTGAGTCAGATCTTGTTCCCTGGAAGAGAATTACATGCATCAAAATCTCCAGGATGCTAAAACAGGGAAGGATTGTAGAGGCATTTGTGGCGGCGGCAGCGGCGGCATGTGTGGGACTCTGGAAGCCACAGGTTGCTGGCTTCCTGAACGTCACACAGCTAGTGCGGTTTGGGTGAGCAGAGTGGCCTACACTTCTTTCTTGAGCTGTGGACAGTGTTCTGAAAGGCACATTCTGTGCCACTTGGGAGAAAGTGGTAGGCTGGGGTGTAAGACATGAGTGGTGGCCAGTGCGCCTTAAAATTACTCATGTGGGAAGCTGGGTCAACTCAACACAGGTTGGCCATCTTGACTGTTCCATCGATGGTACCTGGAGCACCAGGCCCCTCTCCTGAGTCAGGAGTGCATACTATCTGGGCGCTTGACCCAGGAGGACCTTTGTACAAATCTGACTGGTCAATTATAGCTAAGAACTCCAGGAAGGTCTGGTCATGGTGGCACTTTCCTTTAACCTCAGCAGAGGCAGGTGAATCTCTGCATTTACAGAGAGCGTTCCAGGACAGCCAGGGGTATGCAGAGAAACCCTGTATCTATCCCCTTCCCCCCCAAAAAAACCCCAAAAGCAAGGCAGGAACTTGACACCTGCTGCAGCTAAACCTGTGTGTTTTCTTCCACCGTGAGTTAGATCCTGTTTTATTTTCCATTGTCTTAGTCTGTGCAGGCTGGATGGCTTATAAACAACAGCAATTTGTTTTTCACAGTCTGTAAGCTGGGAAGTCCAAGACTAGGGCACCAGCAGGGGTGGCATCTGCTTCCCCACAACGGGTATATTTTTTTTATAGGCTCAGGGTTATAGATGCGCCCTGTTTTGTTTTGGTTTTGTTGTTGTTTTTTGACATGCGTGTTGGGGATTTGAACTCAGGCCATCCAGCTTACACTGTAGCAACCATTTTTACTAATTGAGCTATTCCCCCAGCCCCTGGGGTATAGTAGAATTTTAATCCTGCAACAAGGTTACTCTTGCCAGAATACAAACACACCTTTAATCCCAGCAGATAGAGGCAAGCAGCTATCTGAGTTCAAAGCCAGCCTAGACTAGAACAAGTTTTAGGTAAGGAAAAGCTGAGGTCCAGGTGTGGTGGTACACGCCTTTAATCCCAGGACTCAGGAGACATCCGTGTAGATCTCTGAGTTCTGTTCAGGCTGTTCGGTTTTGTGAGCTGAAAGGCGGGGCAGTGGATTTGAGTTTGTGGTAGTTCAGTTTGCGGAATTCAGAGGCAGTTTTACCGGGAGAGTCTTACAGAGACAGGCTGAAGAGAGAACGAGCCAGAGAATGAGAAGGAGCCAGAAGATAAAGCAGATTGCCCAAGTTAGTATGAGGCCAAGCAGAGCAATTCAGGAGAAGCCAAGAGAAGCCAGATTGAATCAGTCAGCTTGGAGAGGAGAACAGAAGCTGAGAGAGAAGTGAGATTTGAATTAGTCAGCTTGAAGTGTAGTTTTGAGCCAGACAGCTGAGTTGAACCAGCCAGCCAAAGTTCAGAAAGAACTAGAAAGGGTGAGCTTTTTCAGCAGTAAGTCTCAGAGGCTAAAAACATTCTAGGCCAAGATAAGATTGTATGGATGCTAGAAGCTTGCAGGACTAGGCCTAGGTTGGCAGATGGAGGCAGTAAGTCTCAGAGATGACAATTAAATCTGGCAAATAAAGGTTACTTTTACACTGGAGACTCTCGAGGCCTCATTTTCAAATACCTTCGAGTTAGGGATTTAGTAGGCGGAGCAGGAGCCACGGCTCTTGCTGGTCTTCCAGATGTCCCAAGTGTAGTTCTTAGTGGCATGGCTAGGTGGCTCACCCAGCTTTTAAGTCCAGTTCCAG